GTGCAAAGGAATGATATTACATTAGGGACAGCATGGGTAAGTACCCACAAACTTCAGGATGACTGTGAAATAAGTCACCTACAGGTAGCAAGGCCATCTGCCAATAACCATCAAGATCATCTCCCTAAATCAAACCATATCTCAGCACTAAAACCTAATCTTCTACAGTGTTGGTGGATGTCCCTGTTTTGACATATTCTAACCAACTGGAATGTGCATTTATGGAATGTGTAGTTTAGACCAGAGTCTAAACTAGTTTTCTTTCCAGAAAAATCATATACCATTATAGTGTGTGTGTGTGTGTGTGTGTTTGGGTACATGTATGGGTGAGAGAGAGAGGAAGGATGTTCAATACGCAGTTGTTATTAACCATTATCCTTTATTAGACCTCACAGAGGTGTAAACTATACATACAAATACATTAGAAAGATACCCTCTTACAGTAATGCTTCACATTTTGGACCTGATACCAAGAGGGATGCAAATATTTCAGTACATTCTACAAACCAAAGGGTGCATTAGCCTTTATGTATACAGAATGACAGAGCCCTTTACTGAAATCAAAGTAGATAAAAGTGAAAATCAGTCAGCTAGCTCTTTCAACCTTTGGACCTACCAGAATGCATTTAAAAGCCTTCAGAAGCATGGATACACTATCATTTATGGAACAATGTTTACTGATTTAGACAGTTTGTAGAGAGAGGGGAAGAAAATGGCTAAAATGGCATTACATGAACTGCAAACTAGCAAGAATCCTTGATTAGCTTTTATATTTGTACATATTAAAAGCTCCTTTCCTTGGCCTTGATGTTTGTTACTAGAAAGCCTATCAGTGCTAAATGGGGAGAATAGTGCAACAAATGACATTGTTGAGGTATTTGGGGGGTTCTGCAACACAATGATGTTACATACACAGTATGAAATATTACTTGTCATCAAGTAGTGACATCACATTGTGTGTAAGCACAGGATAATAAAAAAGAATGAATCCAGTTAGAGGTTTAGTAGGAAGTTTACTGGGTTGAAAGTGAACATATAACACTCGTCACTGTTGGGTTATAATGATTTGTACTGTTAAAACTAGCATTATTCAGTAGTGATAATCAGAAATTCAAGTGTCCACATTCATGCCTGCATCATGTAAACCCAGGCTTATTCAGGATATCAATTAAAGTCTAACAATGAATAAAGACAGGTCAGTTAATATTTCACTGTGGAAAAAATGACCTCCTTAGAACTAAGTGCTATTAATCTCAGCATTTAGCACTTCTGGGTGGTCTTACAGACAGCTAGGGAGACAGAAAGAGTGCATATGATTTGAATAGCAATAGCAAGATGGCTAGTGATGCTGCTTTCATAATTTAACTTTGTTTCGTAAAATCATGAGGCTTTATGCTAACAGCGTGTTTAATGCACAACCCCAAAGACTACTAGGACTATGTAAAACAGAAACACCACATTATGATGAAAGCAACATAGTCTATTTGACAGCCAATGAATCCTGTGTCAGTGAAAGCACATTCAGAATGCTGATATATACCAACAGGCCACTTTATAACTCTTATTTGATTACATCGAGTTAAATCAGATAATCATTGTGATTTATTATAAAAGCATCACAATCATTATTGGATCGTTTGCTGCACTCCTATATATTTCAATTGTACAAGTTCTTCATAAATCAAAGTATACATTGTTTTCATTCACTGAGCGATATTAGGTAGCTTGCATATTTCTATTTTATGCAAGCTCCTCACTTAGTGGAAATAATGCTCAATTAAAACATAATTCATGTGGAATACTTATATCTATGTTAATCTGAAGGATTAATTTATTACAGTAAAGTACCAAATCATTAAGGATAAAATTCACCCCGTGTACTTAGCCAGCATGAAGTTTACAGTGCCACTTAAATCCACAAAAAAGGTTCGTAAGTGATGTGTGGGCCCCTATACTGGGCCTTTGCACAAAGTGGAATTATATCCTATAATAGCAAAGTGTGCTTAATAAATTAAAGGTAATGGAACACTTATTTACATTTAAAACTCATCAGGATAATATCCCATTATCAAATATAAATTTGATGCAACAAATCAGCTCTAATTATAGTTTTCTGGATACAATTTTGCTTTAATTCAAGAGTATATAAGCATGACATTAATTTAAAGTGTTACCAATATAGAAATTCTTTCAATTCTGCATTTGTTTTGTTCTGATTGGGGGGCGGGAGGGTAATGAGATTGTATTATTGAATCAGAATAAAAGACACTGAGTCTTATTGTATTTTATCAACTATTCTTAACCAAAGCAAAGCGTGAAACCACGTGAATCTCTTTCTTAACTGGATTGATGCTGTGTATTTGTTAGAAAAAGCTTTCAATCAAATACTATGTAGAGGTTTTACATAGATGCAGATTTTTACAAGTATGTTTAGTGTATGCTTCCGGGAAAGAGTTGGTAGCAGCGGAAGTATCATATTAGTAATTATCATGAAATGTATGAGCCATAGATTAGAAATTGGTAAAAAAAAAGTCCTTTCCACTTTTTGAATATTTGTCTGTGTGACTGGAAGGTATGAAGTCTTAGAGAAGTATTAAGTCCATTTATAAAGCTTAATTCAGATGACAATAAATGACTGAGATCCAAACTCTCCCCATTTTATAACACTCTTTGTTCCTATGTCAAGAAGGAGACTTTAACAATTTTTGTACAAATGGTATGTAATGAAGGATGAAATGAAAGAAAACACTTAGGCCAATATTTTCTAAACTGGGTGCCTAAAGTTAGGGTCTTAAATCCATACTTAGGCACCAAAATAGGTTTTCCTGATTTTTCAATAGGGTCTGTAAGTTTTGCAAATCTGGCCATCTATTTAGAGGCCTAAATATGGATGTTAGATCTAGCTTTAGCCACTCATATTTTAAAATCTTGTCCTGAAGTTGGAAGAAATTCATGAGAAAAATGTGTAAGAAGCAGAGAAGAAAAATTTAATATGTTGTAGGTCAAATTTCACTGCAGATTTTTTTTTAAAAGCACAATATACACCCTTTATGCAACCAGTATGAGACTTCCTAATGTAATGTAAGCATCAGGGAGGTCCTTGTTTTTGTATCTGTCAGACTGGTATCTATACTGTACTATATGTAATCAAGTTTCAGATATTATAACCTCCTTCATGTAAAAATCAAACAAAAGATGTGTATATATCAGATATTGTGTTGGACAATGATCGTCCTGTAAAATATTACAATGCTGTGACAAGCAAAACGTGTAGTGTAGGATTAAAATGAACAAAAAATTGCATTTATGATTTTTTTCTCTTTCAAGACAGAACTTTGATCCATTTGCTTTACTTTATGGTATTTCCACAGGTAAAATGGATAATTTGTGAGGAGTCTTGCCAAGGCAGATTTAGATATTTTGTCAATTTGTGAAAAAAATCCTTTAAAAAAACAAAACAGTGATGCAAAGGCATTTTAGCTAGATTTGCCATTTGAAAAAATAACAATAGAAAAGTCTGTTTGAGTGAAACTTCGGCATCTTGAAGATTTGTTTGAATTGAAGAAGTGTTCCTAAAAGAGTAACCAGCTGTATAGGTTGAGTCCCTAATAAATTATCACAATTCCTTTTCAGACTAAAAATAACTTTAAAATAATTTTAAATAGACGGATTATAACTTCATCAGAACATAAGTATAGCCTATAGGTTCAGAGAATCTCTATTTGGGTTTAACTTACTAACTCTCATTCAAAAAATAATAAAACAATGAACTGTCATTTTTTGCACATTAAGTTGTCCATAGTGACCATATAAAGTTAAAAAAAAAATTCACAGACTATTAGCCATATTTTTCAACTCTTTCTCACAACTCAGAATTGCTCAGTATTAGAAGATAACCTGTTTTTCATTGGCAATGATTTTTCTTCATTTCCCACCATGATCAGAGACATTGCTTTGCATTACTTTCTGTACAAGCAAAAACCTTATTGTATTGCTTGGGGCTAATAGTGGAGGATGGAGGGCTAGGCAGGAGAAATAGGGAGTGTTAATCATTCCCCTGAATTAGAACCTGGACTATATTATGTCACACTGACAATAAGCAGAATCCACCACTGATTTCAATGATATGGGACCTTCCATTGACTTCAGTGAGCTTTGAATCAGACTCATGGTTTCATGACTTTAAATGCTTTCCTTCATCTGTAATACCCACTTGGAATAAAATGTTGATAATTGTATTGTGTTTGAAAGCCCTTACCCTGGCCCAATCCCAATAATTTAGCAGATTTCTTCATGACTTTTTTGTGATTAAAAAATTGAAAAGTTATGGCTAGACATTTCTATTTCAATAAGCTTATCTATATAATTGTCATTTTCATACTTTAAAAAAATATTTATATGCTTTCTTTTATATTTTAGTCAAGTACTTTCTTAAACAAAACAATAGCACCACTTCGGCATTGTTGGCCAAATCGGTAAAAGGTAAAGCAAATTGCTACATATTCTTTTCTGAACTTGAGTTGTAATGCACTTGCTTGTTGAAACTGAGGGTCATTGAGCCATTGTATTGGCATAGCAGAGGCTTCATGCATACATTCATACATACCAACCATCAACAGAAGGGGCAATCTGAAAATGGCTACTGCTTACGGATGAAATTCACTCCTGCCTAAGGCCCATACAAGGCCTATGGACCACAAGCCTTACAGACACATCTAGGCTGCATGTTCTCTTGGGCAGCGACTGTCTTTTTTATTACATTTGTGAGCTAGTACCGTACAATATAACTGTGTTCTCTGATGGTGGTTCTTATTTATGCCATAATGCAAATAATAATAAAATAATAAGCCTTGTTCAGACCCTCCTCACCGGTGTGAATTTCACTCTATATGTACAATTTTACAGCTGTGCAGAGCATTTATTTCTGCTATCCTTTCAAAATAGTTAGTTAGTGCTAATTACGATGGAATGTGGGCTCAAATCTTGCTGCCATTGAAGTAAAACTTCAGTGAAATTCTATGTAGTAATTGAAAGTCTTATTTTGTATCAAATTTTAGAAGGTTAGGATATTTCCTGAAATTTAGTCATTTAAATCTAACACTTTAAAATTTACTATGGGATGGAGAGTGCAGAGCTGTCCAGATGCAGAGAGTAGAACTATGTTGCACACCTTGAAGGGTTGTAGCGTTGTGTGTGCTCCTCCCCATAGTAGCTTATTCTGGTGCTCCCTCTGCAACAGTGTTGGTTCCATATCACCCTTTATTACAGAGCTGTTTTAACCTTGAATCAGAGCGTCACATATCAAGGTTCTGTGAAATGGCACCGATTAGAAACATATAATCTTATTCCTCCATCACCAAGGTATCTGAGTGTATAAAAGGTACAAAGTTACAGACTAAAGAACTGCTCTGCCTAAAGAGCTTTTCTGATTTACAGAGGGATGCTGCAGTATAATTAACACTCGGTTTAGTCGCATAGAGATGTGGGAAGAAATAAAAGAGTATGATTAACCCCCTGTTATAAGAGCAGAATACTAATGTTTCTTAAGGATTTAGGGCCTGATCCTACGCATTGAAGACTGTTGACGTTTTTCTATTTATTTCAGTGGGCCTATGTGTATATGTCTGTGTTCAGAATTACTGTAACTGTATTCATGTGTTACTATAAATACTAGAATCCAAATCTCAAAAAGGAAACTACTGGAACTTCACATCTTTATTTTCTTTTGAAGGTGAGAAACAATTTTGAAATAAGAATCTAAAGCACTGAGTCTTTTAAAAAAAAATATACTTGTGTGTTTTTTTAACCTACTTTCTTTTATTTCATCTTTGGCTTAGTTTTCTATTTTGCTTTTTACCTTTTACGGTTTTGGCCGGACCCTTTCATATAACAGATTATAAAATAGCACCATTGTACTATAAAAGAGAATTTTACATACTGTTTGATATATGTGTATTATTGATATGCTAAATTTTACATACTGCATTATATGGAAGAAAAAAAGTTATTTATACTGTTGCAAAACAATTTGTTACCTGAAACAATCATTGATGGTCTAATAGCCTACATATGCTTTAACTGCTTCTAACAATCATTTGCCTCACAAGTTGCAACTATTTGCATCTTAGCAAGATGTGGAAAAATAAAGCTTTGTCTTAAACGTGTTTAACCCATATGCTGTCAAAATACCACAGATGGAATAAATGGATGTCTAAAAGTTGTGTTACTTTACTGCTGCTGCTACTGGGAATATCAGACTGTGCAAATATGAAAGGGGTAGACAAACAAAGTTATCAGACACTGTAAAACAAACAGCCTGTTCTTGTATAGAAGTGCAAAAAAAAAAAAAAAAAAAAAGACCAAACAAAACAAAACCCCAACTCTAAGCCAAGGCTGATGAATGACTCCAGCGGCCAGGGTTCATAGGTTAATTTAGTGCAATTGGATCCATCAAAGGCCCATAAATTTGCAGGCTTTTGAGGGGCACAGGATTTTAAGAGTTTTTGTGCAGGACATTTATAACAGGTTAATAATCAAGCAGCATTGTACCAACCTCAGAACATTTTTAGCACTAGGTTGGTTTATAACATTCTGCTCTCTAAAGACTTGATGTTGGAATGTTTACTTGCATTGTTTATTGGGAGAATGCCCATTGGTTGAGATTTCATCAAGCTTATAAACTATAGTTTTTAAGTCTTCCAATGTTTAACAAATAATTTATTTACAGTGAAGTGTCCTGCAGATGGCACATTCATTCTTCATTCTTGTGGATGGCATTTTCTTACATTCTGTAGTTCCTGTTTCCTGTGTTCCCTCTACTTGTATTCTTCAAATGCACTTCCTGAAAGTTTAAAAATATATTTTAATTAGTTTTTAATCTGAGATATGGTTATATGAATAACTTGGGTGGGTGGAATTAGGATTAGGAATCATGAACTCCTCCATTCATACCACTGGTTCTGACAGTGATACTGTCTGCGGCCTTGGGCAAGTCTGTCATGCAATATCTACCTTATAGAGGTTTGTGGCGATTAATGAATGTTTCTAAAACAATTGAAAGATGTAAATCCCTAGAACCTGGGCAGTAGTGCATACTCAAAGGTTGATGATTTCCAAACATGTTTTCTGTCCACCAATACAGATATGAAGACGCAGATATCCTAAGTGCGGGTATTATTAGAGTTCTAACACCAAAACATACAGCACTGGGTCCTGCAGTCCCTTTGCACCCAGAACTCCCAGTGCTCCTGGCATCAGCAGAAAGAAAATTACATCCAGTTATTTATCTGATTTGATTTGTAATCCTGCTCCAATACTCCTGTACCTTTCAACAGTCTCACCAGATAAAAGTTAGCAATCAAGGGATACTCCAATGATTAGCTCAATGAAATACTGATTCCCCTTTACCAGATATTACTTCTTAATGTCACTAATAAATAGTTGCCTCATATACATTGAACACATGGGTGGATACATTTAAATATGATCTGGATCCACTATAACTTCAGGTCACATTTGCAGCTTCCTTGTGTAGCCCGATCTATAGATTATGGATTGATTATATTGATTACTTAAGAATGACCAGTTAACACTGAAGGTTGATAGGTTCTTGTCCCAAGATCAGGCCCAGTATTATTCAAATTATTATGTAGTTGGGAACCCCAATGTACACAGCTGCAACACTCACACTATAGGAACTCTTCTATATTTACAAATAGTTTATTAATCCATTTAGCACAGTCACAAACATCCCAATTCAGTAAGGTAGATAGCAATACTACAGAATGTACATCTGCACATCCATATACTCACACCATCCCTTGTAGAACAACCTGAAATGCTAGCCATCATCTTTCTCATCACCATCACCTTCCTCCTCATCACTAGTGGCCATTATTCTGGCATCTCTTTCTCCTACTGTCTGTAGGCTGGGATGCCACTTTTATAATATGTTGTGCTGATGCCACTCTGATGCATATTCGGGAGGGATTTCCTCCCTTTTTCTTATTTGTATATCCTCAGTTTACTAATGATGGAGTTTTCTTCTCCTATAGGGTGGTATATCAATGATCTCAACTTATTATCATATACATCAATTCGTCCCCATGGCCCTTTTGTGGTTAGGTATCTGCTGATGTAGCTCATGTACCTGTTATGTATGTCAATTCATTGCTATGACATTCTTTTGATTGGACTCATGTTTCTGTAGTCGGAAATTCTCCTTAAACATTCTATTTTCAGCTCCCCAATACTTGAGGTTTTCCGTTGGGCCGTATATCTGTTCAAAGTTCAAAGGCCTCAGGCCTTATGCTAACTTGCAGAAGCTAATGTTTGTCAGGATACAGGCCTGTAGGTTCCTTGCATTACTGCTGAATATAATAAAAGCAGAATATAATGCAAAACAGTGAATATAATAAAAGTAAGCTGGCCCAATATGCTATACTTGATTTGCCTCTCCCAGGCTTGGTAAAATAACTTTCCCTATCTGTCTCTAATTTTTCCCAAATGACTTCATCTCACATACACTCACCCCAGATGAACCCTTTAGTTTTCACTGATTCATTGCTGCACCAGGCCACTTTATGCTGCTGGCCCCATATCTTAAAGATACCAAGGATCCTACTCTAATCCACCTTGATGACTACAACAAACTGGGAAAGGATAAATTATTTGCATCTTCAGCCTTACAATTTCTGCTATGACAATGGCTTAAAATACCAGTGTGATCATTGTTGCTCCAGGATGTGTACCACCTCTAAGAAGAATTTACTGAGAGATGGGGAAAGGACAAATTATTTTACACAATATTTTTTTCCTTAAGTCAAGTATTCCAAAAATTATCCAAGCATATTATCTGTAAACTGGAAAGTAGCACAAATGCCTGTTCTTGATCTACAGCCATATTACATTGTAGAGGAAATGGCTTCCAAAAACTATTAGGCTAATAATGAACCATGCAGTTCCCTAATGAGCAGATATATCTTCTCCACTATTGTTGTACTTTGAATTTATGCTAGCTTAGTCATCAAAGCAAAATATAGATTCTGATGGGCCAGGGTAAAATCGTGTTTCCGTAATGATCTATGGCCAAATGAGACATTGCTTATTATCCTCTCATAGCACCCAGAATTAGGTTTGAATCTGAGAAAAGGTGGAGTTGCTTCTCTGCTGTTCTGGTCACGGACTCAGTATTTTCATCATTGGTGCTAGACAGAGGAGGCATTGGCGGTGGCAGCAGCAGTAGTGCACGCTAAAAAAATGGCTCTGCCCCAAGTAGCACATTTCCTACTAACATGAACAGCTGAGACCATTCAAAACTAACTGGAATGTCTGGTTAGTGTTTGGATCATCTCCCAAGGTCTCACATGTGACCTCTTCATGCAGACAATAACAGCAATAGAATAAAAGTATGCGGGGAGCTTGGTCTAGCTCACATCTGCTGGTTCACACATGTTGGTTTTAGTTCGATCATGCAGGGTTTTCTCAACAGTGAATGTCTTATCCCAATCACATTATGCAGAGTTATGCAGTGTATGCCCCCACTTTAATTGATCTCCAAAAGCCTTGGATGCTCTGTCCCAAATTCAGCTAAAAAGTCCCCTTGCATTTCCCGTCTTGCTGAATAGATAAAAAACAGATGGAATCTAATTCACCGTATTCTTGATGGGAAATCTGTAATCATTAAATACAACAGTATATCAAATAAACTGGGACTGATCATCCAGCCCAGAGTGCCATGCTTTATCATTTTTTTTATGGCTCTTGGAACTCTTTGACACATAAGAATGAAATTCTTAAACTGAACAAATAATACAACAAATTATCCCCAAACCATCCAAAAATGAACAAAGTGAAGAAAAATAAGGACCCTACTACAGTCCTGATCCAAAGTGCTTTGAAAGTCAACAGGAGCCTTTCCAATGATTTTAATAGGCTTTGAATTAGGCACTTGGTCACTTATGCTGACATTAAAATCCGGAAATATATATATTTTTAAAATGGCTTTTTTCTTTTTCAACTATTTGATAATCTGTTAGCAATTATTAAATACATAAAGCACTAGCTATGATCTTGTTCAGATGCTGAGTTCTGGGATAGACATCTCCTTGGTTGCCATAACAGACAGAGATAAGGACTACAGGCAATTTTTAACTGACAAAGCAAAGTAGCCATGCTTTCAATGGCAAAATGCCAAATGCCTGCTATACCTGCACAGAGAGTGCACATTGGAGCCAATCCTCCCCTTACATCTCTACAACTCTACTGAAGACAATCAGGCTACGGAGGCATGAAAACAGAATTTGACCTTGTCTTCTTCAGCGCTGACTTCTTGCACAGAAAGACCAGCCAGTCCTCGGATAATGACTATCTCCATGATCTGAAGGGTCATTTAACTGAACCTGGCAAAGAGGATTAGGAAGCATGCAGTGGTTTTCTTAAGCTTTCAGGATGGACATTCAAACCTAACATTGGCATAAAAAGACCTCTCTGCTTTACTGGTAATAATAATAAAAAGTCCAATGTTTGTAGTTTACAGCCACTATCTCTTAGTTACGAACCCTCTAGAGTCTATTTTGAAAAAGCTTTTTAGCTTTGTGGGCAATGTGGTCAGTGACAAAATAACTAGACTGAAAAGTCTTTAAGAAAACAGCCCAAATTCTGCTCTCTGTTACACCTACTGCTTCCCATTGACTTCAGTGGTGTGGCATGAATGCAAGAGGAGGTAGGATTCATGTCATTGTGCATATTTTGGCCTATGAATGTATATATATGAATTGTTAATGTGCCAATCACCAGAGATGCTGCCAATCTTTCAGAAATAAGAGAACTAAATCAGTCTCTACTTTTCCTCTGCTAATGATGTTTTCTTAATGTAAAAATATTAACTTCCACATTTTTTTTGGTTGAAAAGTCTATTTGGGGCCAAAAGTATAGATACACTCTTTCTGAGATGACCAAATATCTGAATTTTTTAAAGATCAGCTATGCTACTTGTACCTGGATGTTACTACATGGGGGCTAAGCAAGAACAAGGCCCTAAAATAAAAGAAAGGGGAAATTAGACCACGAGTTGTCCACTTCTCTGGCCCTTTTGCTAGAGGGTGAGGGGATGGTCTGGTAGTGAGTCCTTGTCCTCCCCTCTAGCCCTGATGTCTTTTAGGTAGATAAGGTTGGCCCATTAATTCCAGAATTTGCACAGTACAGTATGTGGGGTCTAAAACAGGACTTTTTTTTCTTCTCCTTAAGGTTGACTGTGACACCCTTACAAGAGTGGCCAATCATGCATTCCCAGAGTACTGGACATTCCAGGAACAGTGTGGGCCCTCCCCCTGCCAGTGTGGCCTTGAATGCATGGCGCGTGCAAGGTCATGCCACACAGAGAACACCTCTATGGAGAGTACTCCACTCCCACCAGTGTGACCTCGCATGCTGGCTGGGGCAGAACAGGGCACTCTTCAAAATGGCGTTCCCCCCCCTCCCCCAATCTGTGATACCAGAGAAAACTGCATCCGGTTTTGTCTTAGTACTGGACAGGGGACAAACCATTTAAAAACAGGACTGTCCATATTAAAAACCAGACCAATGGCCTGCCTAACCCTTACATGTACAAGAGTGATGGTGCCTTTTGAGTTTAAATCAACAGGCCTTTTTGTGCCCACTGTGGTAACCACAGCACTGCTATGTAGGAAAAGCCATAGCCTTCCCTACATCCTTGATTTACGTACAGACTGTTGTGGTAATCTCTCTACCTCTTTGCCTGGACTGAAATTAATTTCCTTTGAGAGTGCTGGCCTGTACTTTTTCCAAATAACTGTCAAAACCCAAAACTCAATTTAGGGA